GCCTTGATTCAATGGCGAAGGCTCGTAGCCTGAGTCCCAGTTCAACTATTGTTGAACTTAGTGGCGAAGGCGCATAGCCTTGATTCAATGGCGAAGGCGCATTGTTGAATTTAGAGGCGAAGACGCATAGCCTTGATTCAATGGCGAAGGCGCATAGCCTGAGTCCCAGTTCAACTGTTGTTGAACTTAGTCCATTTTGATGGCGAAGGCTCATAGCCTGAGTCCAATATTGTGGGTATTGAGTGCTGAAGCTCGTTTGGATTCGAGACCTTGAGCGGCTTATCCGTTGTCTTCCCAACCAGGGTATATAGGCTGTCTTGAGGCGACTCTCGGCTCGAGATATCTCCGTGTCGGTTTCTGACCGGAGCTCATATCAGGGATGCGGGAGATGCCTTGCAGAGATCTTCCCTTAGGAGGGGCTTCTTCTTCTTCTTTGCACTATCCGAGATTAGAGAGAGAGAGGACTTGGATCTTGATTTGAGATCTTCGAGTTCCCCTTGTCCGACATGCCGCTTTGGCTTATTTGAGCTGGGTTGCTTTTGTTTTCCTTTTCTGGCGTTTCTTCCTTTTTGGTCCAGGGAAGAACTACGCGATTTTGCTAGGAAATCCCCACAGACGGCGCCAAATTGTTTGCTCAAAAGTTATCACATACCTTATGAGTATAAAACAACATAATTAAATCACGGGAAAATCATAGCAAAACGTAATAATCCATTGGACCAAATGAAGGAAACGAAAATAAGTACTCAGAGTTAGGAGGAGAAACATTAAAATCCTTTATTGATAATGTTGATTTGGCCTGCCTCTCCATGAAGAGGTTCTGAGCCGTACAAATGGTGTTCTACTCTCTCATAATATGGGTATCATTGTGTTTTTTCTCTTTTTCCTGGATAGTGACCAAGAAGGACCCCCCCCCCCCCCCCTTTTCTAGGATTTTCTCTTTTGGTATTTATAGCTATGAGCTTCGGAGCTGGCAATTAGTGGCCGTGACCACGTTGGGGTTTCGCTTTCATGATGGCGGATGGGCCGTGGCCTTATTGATCAAATCAGGCAAGGGTTAAAAACCGTTAATTCTAAATGGTCGTACCACTTACTAATCATGAATTAGCTTAAGACGAGATTAACTTCGTTAGTTATCGTGGGTCTGATTCTGACCCATTCAGATGATAATGAAGTAAAGGGTGTTAGACTAGCTATTTCATTTTCATATTTCCAAGGTCTCATTAGTACGTAAAAATAAAAGTCAAATTTATTCTAATAATTGTAGTCAGCATTCGACCATAGTGTAATTCATTGGCTACGAACAGTCTCCTAATGTATCGAATCTTCCGCGTGTCCACTTCCTCAACAATTACTAGCATTCTGATCTGCAGTGGCAGTGTAGGACATGATGTGTCGAACTGTGTGAGACTAGTTGCTGAATGTCCAATAGTATAGCTCCTCCTTAGGTGTGGGAACCAAACTTGTACAAACTCTTTTCTTTGTCCTCTTAAATATCTAATATCACTGATCCGATTAATTTGAATTCACACCGAGTATACTCAATAAGCGAGTGAAGTGCTCCATATTGAACAGTTCTTCGATCCATTTCCATGACTCGAACTTAAAACTTCTGATTAATGGTGACGAAATCTCAATCTTCAAGCGACACCCACTTGTATTAACTCTACTCTTTATTGGGACGTGGTGGATTGAATGTTTTAATTTGACATGGTACGATAGCGAAGAGTACTTTAGCTCTTTACTAAGTATATTTCCACAGTATATCAATCTTTACATAGTTATTAACCACAAAATAATACATACTTTGTAATCATCACATAGACATTCTCCCATAAAATTTCTGCATAATTACTACATAAACCAATCCATGCACCCTCGAATTCTAATAATTAGACTTACAATTTTATAGGTGGGGAGAGAGCACTTTTGCCAGCCTCGCATCTAACTGAAAAATAAATTGTAGTAGTAGTAATTTGTAATGAAAATAACTTAGTTGTTGTCGTTCATATAATTAATTTTATCACTTAATCATAACTAAATGAAACATAATTTCACTTTATTTTGTAACTTTTATTATTAGATTATTTGATTTACAGTATAACCATCTAACATAAATAAGTACTCCCTCCGGTCCAAATAAGTGATTTTTAACTATTTTCACACAGGTTAAGAAATTCACCTTTTAACATTAATTAGCAATGAAATTGACCATATTAACCTTTACTATCTCTTCACATAAATACTCCCAACACATACTCCAACACTATTTACTCCAAGGGCAATGTAGGAAAAAATAATTAATTTATTCTTGAAATCTAAAAAAATCACATATTCTGGATCACAAAAAAAAAGCCAAAAACTCACTTATTTTGGACCGGAGGAAATACTAACTTAGAAGCGGTAAGGGCCAAATGCGGGATGAAGAGGTCCGCAAAAGTCACGCGCGTAGCATCGCGCAGGATTGCATCAGTGCTTTAAAACGGAGGCTGGCCAAGTTTGTGAAAGGGACAATTGAGATGACGAGACCTTTTTTGGGCCTCCAAGAGAAACAAGTGGGAGAAACTAGTGTAGGTGTAAATGTGTAATCTTCAAGACCAAGTAGTCGTTTTGGTAAAGCTGCTGCCCATATGGATATGGATGCGAGACTCATACAAAAGACAACATGAGTGATTGCTTGAATGCACTTCACCTTCATTTTCTACATCACAATCCTTTGAGTGCTTTCCCACAAATCACAATGAATTATTTATGTTTGCCTTAGTAATTATACGCGGAAATGAATCTAGCTTAGATACCCCGACTTTGAGTCTAATTATACGCCCATGTTTGGTTTGGGATATTAGCTAACCTTGGGATAACTTTTACACTTAAATGGTGGAATTAACTATCCCATATAGAAGGTCGGATAACTAGTCCCGTGGAATATCTTACCACAAGGATATCCTGGGATACTCCACCATTGTACCAAAAACGACCCCTAAGAAATATATAGTGAGAAGCAACAACATGCCAACAAAATGCCATATTTGTGGAGAAAAAATTGTGCATAGAAAAGGTTATTATGTGAAAAGATATGGCATATCCAGCTTTTATTACACTTGACTTGAGATTGGCACCCCTATGGATAGATGCTGGTCCATGAAAGCCTCTGCAGCAGTGCAACATCAAGCAGAGCTCACAATGTGTACGCCAGTTTTATACTTTGTCTTTATACCAAGGTTTTGATATATAAATATAGAACTAGTTTTAGCTAATACCTCCAACCAAACATGTAGTAAATTTAATCCAAAAATTACTGGGATAACCCACCTAATCTCTTGAACCATATGTCACAAGCATGAAAATATCTACTACAGAATTTAGACGGGCATCTTCTTTTTGGTGATGACTGATGAGATAATAAAATTTAGATGGGAACTCCTAACACCAAGGACAAACAAAGAAACTTTATAGAATAATGCTCTAGACATCAGAATTAAACCATATATATGCGTGTAGCTACTCCCAGAAAACATCCACAACAAATCTGCAGCTTAAGTCTCCTTTTCCTATTGGCCAAAAGTAAGGTTCGTGGTTACAGGGGGCTTTGCATTTCCAACAAAACAATATTAGCTTAAGTCATAACTAACACAAACAGAATAACCCTTTGACATAAGCACTTCAACTTCAAAGATATCTTGTTCAGTGTAAACTATCACTACTTCAAATACTTGTTCCATGGATTCAATTAAGTTCCACAACATAGATAAATTGCTAAATCTAGAGATCTCAAAACATCAATGCACAAACCTTCCCTTTCTCTGTTGCTCTTTACCTATTTCCAGCTGTGATTACTCCAAAGTGTCAATATAGCTACCATTTTGAAATCAAGTAGACCCTATTCTACCTGTTTAGTCGGCAATGAACGGCAAGTGCAACTGCCGCCATCGCGTTCTCCTTGATGTAGTTCATTACCAATGCAATGCCTAGTAACATATGCATATACAGTTAGAAGTTTCTAATACCCAATGCTAAGAACTTGCTACAAGCTCTCTAAACCTGAAATCTAGCTAGATTTGATTAAAATGTGACAAATATTTTTTTTCTAGCCTAGAGCTGAAAGTTCTTCCTAACTGATACTCCATAGTCCATAGTACAGCACCTTCGTGGGGCTTTCACTAATGAATATACCTCACTCGCTTTCGAACAAGACAAGATCTTTGTAAGCTCTCAACTTAAGTGTCGGTAATGCTTTCAAATGTCAAATGCCACTCTGAAAACCAAAGAATAAAAGCTGAAACAAGCTGCATTTTCTTTCCTCCAAATAGTTCCCAGCACTTTTTCCTTCCTCCAAAGAGGTCCACTTCTGCAACAGAGGTGTTAAACTCCTGAAAGTTTTCAGATCGAACTACAGGTCTCATTCCAGTAGGCAAGACATGAAACTCAAAAATCTTCAACACTGAACAGAAAAAAGGCAGCGTGAAAACTCTGTCGCAATGTCTCCCAACAATAAAAGTAGCTGATAATTGGAGCTAAACAACCGTGTACAAGGAAAAGAGTGACGAGCAAAGATGTAAGAACTTGTATTGAGCTTAAAAAGCCTTTAAAAGCCTTATAACCAAGATGGAAATGCTTCGATGGAAGGAATCTGAAGAAAATGGGAAAGGACGGACAAAAATAACAGCACTGACCTTTTTCCTTCATTCTTTTGGGGTTGGGTTGGGTTGGGGGTGGGGTGGGGTGGGGGTTATGCATGACAGTACTGATGTTTTTCTTAAAGAAAAAACTAACATCCCTTATCATTAACATTGTAAACAGAGTATAAAGTCTTCAACAGCTCTTATGCTAGTCACTCATTTTCAGAATGCCACTCCAAAACCTAATGTCACGCTTGCTCAGGATCTGAACTCCAAATCCCCATTGTTGTCTCCATGCCAAACTACTCAAACTCAGTTAAATATGGTAATGCTAAGACCCAAAACATTGCAAGACATAAACATGGTAAAAGAATAAAAAGGTAAAAGCACGAGAAAGAATATTGAATAAGAACTACGTAACATGAACAATTATCAATTCTTTATCAACTAATTGCAGAGAAAAGACGTAAGAGCTTCTTCAATTTCACAGACCAAAGGATGAAATGGTGAAAAAGAAGACAAGGAGGACCAATCCAGTTATCTAATCAACCAAACTTTCTGATTGATTGCCCACATACATACACCTAACCGAATTACAGCATAATCTCATTTGTCAACCTCCATTGCTTGTGCAGCTTTAGCTTTGGCCAATGGTGTCAACTTCGTCTTCAATTTTTTCTTCCCCACTTGAAACCCACTTCCACCTTTCTTCTTCTTGTCCTTACCATCCACCTAAATCACATCATCATCCAAATTAGTTCCTATTATCTTTTCCTTCCTTTCTTGTTTTTGTTGGTAAAAGTAAGCTTCTATTATCATCAACCAAGATAAGTAGCGGAGCACATGCAATGAAGGGGATTCGTATAGAAGCTATATTGTGTAAATAGGGTCAAAGTTATTTTTATACATATAAAACTTTGAATCACTCATAAGAGAAATACAATTTCAAATCCTAGGTGTGGCATTTTTGGATTTTATTGAATCCCCTAGTCAGAATTCCTGGCTCCGATACTGACCAAAATAATTCCTTTTTTTTTGGATAAAGTAAATTTTTTTAATCATCAAATTGCTCCAGGCTTTTGAATGTGTAAAACTAGTATTAAAAAAATCAAAGATTACCCAGTAAAGATCAAGTCTTTTCTGATTGAGGTAGTGAATACATCAGAGAAATAATGACATAATCAGCAATTAAAGAGGTTAATTATGGATAAAATGCATGTTTTACAGATGGTAAAAGTAGGGTGATTAACCTTCATCTTGTTCTTTTTTGCTTGTAGCTTCTTCTCTAGCTTTTCTTTCTCTGCTTTTTCCTCTATATTTTCACCATCAATCAATGATTAGTATCACATCAAAATTATTGTTTTTTATAAAACGTAAATAAAAAGCAGAACTTCAAGAGGTATAGCAAATAGCATAATATATGAAAGATAAAAAGGAAAAGAAGGGGCAAAGAATTGTACTTCGAAGATTGAATTCGTGCTGTCTTTTCCGTCGACCTAAATCGTTTTTCTTCGACATTTTGGCGACGGTGCTCGCTCTCTGGGATTTTTTGCTTCTTCGACCAATACCTTAAACCCTAAAATTTTCAAGTTTCAGCCGCATATTAATTTTCACAGATTGTTCCCTTAACTTTCATTTAAAAACTTTGGGTTTCCTCTTTGCTAATTTGTAAAATACCTCACGTATAACTCTTTTTCTTTTTCTATTTTATTCACGATGCTTAATGTTTGTTAGTTTTTCTTTTAACTTTGATTTAAATTTATTGTATGTGGACTAACATGTTATAATAAATAATATGATAACTTTGACATTAGTGAATTATGTCTTGTAGTAAGCTTATTAAGAATTTTATTTTATTTAATAAAGTTAAAGCTAACTCATAAAGCAAAATAAAATTTATTTTCGATGATAGAAAATGTCAAAATATTTGGATGAAAGGAGTAATTGCTTTCTCTTTTTGAGATGTTTGATCAATCCCTTCCCAATAATTTTTTCCGAGCAGACCAAACTAATTAAGAAGTCATAAATATTAAATTAACTTCATAATAATAATTTATATGAATTATAGTCTAATAGTTTTGTTAGTCATATTCTCACATCCTCTACACGACTAAGTAAATCAATTTCCTTCAAACAATCTTTTCTTTTGTCCAGAAAAGGAGAGAGCAAAAAGCATTCAAAATAAATATTATTCATGGGATTATACAAAAGATATAATCCCACGAATTACATATTGAATGAATCAAGTTGTTGATACTCATTTTAGGAGAATTTTAAATTCAAATGTTTGATTATGTGAGAGATAAATATATTTTCCTAACTATTACATTACCTTGAGCAACTTATGATAGACCATTAAAATTAATAAAAGTAAATATTTATTGAGATGATATTCCCCAATTCGTGGTGTAAAGAAAAAACAAATTGGGGAATATCAACACCAATCACAATAAGAATATCAATCGAAAAGTCGGAGCAAAAATACAAAACTAATAGTAAGTACTGTAATTAGAAAGTCGAAACAAAAGCAACAACAAGTATTAACAAAAGTCAAGGGATACGATAATACAAAGACAGGACAACGCTCGCTACCTATCCTAACCGTTTACGTTTATTCTCAACCTCCATAACTTCCTATTTATGGTCATGTTCTCAGTAAGCTGGAGCAACGCCATATCCCGCCTAATCACCTATCCCCAATACTTCTTCTGCCTCTACCTCTCCTTAGACACTCCAGGGCCAATCTCTCGCATCTCCTCACTAGAGCATCTGTGTCTCTCCTCATCACATTCCCGAACCATCTAAGCCTCGTCTCCCGCATCTTGTCCCCCATAGGGCCACGCTCCACCTTGTCCCAAATAACTTTATTTCTAATTCTATCTAACCTGGTATGTCCGCACATCCATCTCTACATCCTCATTTCAACTACCTTCATCTTATGGACATGGAATTTCTTGACTGGCCAATACTCCGTCACATATAACATAGTCAGTCTGACCACCGCTCTATATAACTTACCTTTAAGTTCTGGTGGCACATTCTTATCACACAAACCTCAGAAGCAAGCCTCCATTTCATCCACATCGCCCCAATACTCTTTTTCCCTTAGCCTAGGTTTTGTCCCACTGGGTTTTACTGGTAAGGTTTTTAACGAGGCAGCAAATAAAGCGTATTAGAGATATGTGTACTTTTTTTCCTTCACTAAGATTTTTTCCCACAGGGTTTTTTCTTAGTAAGGTTTTAACGAGACATATTATCTATTTTTTTGGACATCCAAGGGGGAGTGTTATAAAATATTTAATAAATGTGGATGTCCACTACTCCCACTACTTTCACCCATGATGTAAATTACCTCCCACTACTCATCACCATTATGATTGTAACTCCCACACTTTCATAACCCCTCCCCATGATCTTCCCCCATGATCTCAATTGTTAATGCCATGTTTAAGACAATGATTTTGTAACCTTCATATGTAATAGTATAAATAGAGGCATGAAATGTGAGATAGAATACACTTGATGAAATAAGAAAGTTATCTCTTCTTCTCTTATTCTACTTATCTTCTTGTTTTTTATTGTTACTTTGAGCTATATTTTTTAACAGCAATAAGTTTCTTTTTGTATGGATTTTTCAGTTTCTTTTCATCGTATCATCGTTATGTTTGCATCAAATTGTTGTTGATAAACTTAATCGATCGTACCTGCCATTTTGTTGGATAATAAACATTAATCGTCTGGCTTTTGAAGGATGATCTATCTATTATTAAAAAGAAATAAGTCAGCCATGAGAATTTGCCAAGTGTTGCGATAATAAAATGCCATGTGGCAATTTTAGAACAAATTAGTTAAAGTTAGGTAAAATTAGTTTGTTTTTTGAATTTGAATTTCAAAAAAATTGAAATAACTATCTTTTTAAAATATTTTTTGAATTTGAATTTTAAAATACTGAAATCTATCTTTTCACATTTTTAAAAGTTAACTTATCAACAACGACTAATTGTAATAAAATTTGTGAACGATTGTGTGCACACTCTAATGATGATAAATAGTAATTTTCAAATCTGTGCCCACGATCTATATTATAGATAGATAATTCAGGGACATAGTCCCAGTTACATGGCACGTCTCATCAAGCCGACAACGCACTTCACCTTTTTTCTCCTTTTTTTTAGGTTGTCCTCCTTTTTTTCCGTTTACCTGTTTAGTTAAAAAAATAAAACATTGTCAGTAAAAAAAACTGTCGCAAACTTATTGTAGAAGCATCCCTTCGAGGATATCGGATAAAAAAGCATAACCACTGCGAAATTGTTTTTAGCGTCAGTTTTCTTTTTGCACTTGTAATTTTGATCATAGATGCTAAGAAACTACAGTTTCCTTCTTCCAATCTTAATTTTTTTCTGAAATGTGTCCTCTCGAAAGACAAACTGCCTCAACTGCTCTTTCAAACACCTGATCACAATCATGGACTTTTTGAGAGAAATTCAACAACTTATCAATGGGAAAACCAAAGTTGGCCGGTTGTAAAATATTTAAAAAAAAATTATGATTGAACAATTTTTGTTTATATGTACAAGTATAGAACGGTGATCAAGTGACTGTTTGGTTTGGGGATATGTGGCATGTGATGTTGTTGTTGAAGTTATTTAGGCGTTCTGCTTTGATCGACTTCATTTCGTGTAGTATTACAACTACTCTGCTTTGACTTCATGTCTGATTCTTATGCAACTTTTGAGAATCATAGCGCCAGAGTAAGAATTTCATGTATCAAATCTTTATCTTATATCCTGAATTATATATTCTATTCTCTGGTTCTGAGGTGCACGCTTGCACATTAACTTAATTTGTGTTGGTGGAGTTGTATATTTTAAGATTCAACCTTTTGCAGTGGGCAAGAAGGAGGATCGCTAATGTTTGATATTACACTATCATAAGAAAACTAATCCCCCGGGTATGAATCACTCTGCAGAAACAATAATCCATAAATCATAATGAACCGGTAATTTATAATGAAAGAATCACTGTTTGGATAGATTCAACATTATTAAAAGAGGTTTTTCATTTTCCAGAAATATTTTTCGTTTGTTTATAATTTTCATAACTCGGTTCGGTCTTTCCTTTCCACTTAGTTTTTGGCATTGAATGATTATGGCCACAATTATTATAATTGTTTTTTCCTTTCCACGCTTGCAGATTATGTCCCATCCAAAAAAATTTGAATTGTCTTTCTTATTCATCCCTGTTTTGAACTTTAGTTGATGCCATTCTTCTCCTAATACTTATAGTGTTGGCAGAAAAACTGAAATTATGCACCCCCTAACCAAAAGAAGTGAAGTTCCAATTTCGCTAAATGTTCTCAATGAGGTCTTACACTCGTGGATCACTTAAAGGTAATTTTATATACAGAGTGACTAAGAGAGCCTCAATGTGCAAACTCCTCAAGAGCATGAAAGTTCATCTTTTGGAGCTCTTTTAAGACAACCATATAGTAATAACTATTAAAAAATAATTAATGAGGAAAAGTTTGTCATGTTATCATCTTCAGGGATCATTTTATGTGTTTGTATAACACAACATGTTACTAAGAGAGAGACAGATGGAGAATAACAAAGATGAAAATTAAGGTTCCTCATTTGGATCGAGCTAATTTTGTTCCATCTTGATATGAGAGTGTAGAGTAATGTTCATTCTAAGAATTTATCTTTTTTTTGTGGTTTAAGAATTTTTAATCTCTTCTTTGGCTTATGACGTTGTGTTGGCGAACCTTGCTGATATGATATTCTTTTTTGTTTTCCTTTTTTTATTATTTTGCATGCCTCCAAGTATATATAAATTCATACAAACCTTTTAGATTAAGTATTAGTGAAGTGAGGAAAGATTTATAGGTTGTGAAATTTTAGTTTCTTTGTGTTCCTTTTTTACATTTTCTTTCAAAGCAATATCATACTTTTTATTGTTTATATATAGAAGTCTGCTTCATTTGGAATAATTATGCATTCTGTTATCTATTGAATTATATGCTTTGAGTTCATCTCTACACCTTTACATATAGTAAAAATAATGATGAATTAAAAAAAATGTGTGTTTATGAGAATGTCACGACCCGGATTTTCCCCCCTCGGGAGTCGTGATGGCTATTAATAGGAGCTAGGCAAGCCAATTAATTTAACACTTCTCTCAACATCATTAACAGTATAAAGAAGAACGAGGCAATTAATATAAAAACGGAAGTCTCGAAACATAAATAACTGAAACCAAGTGCGGAAATTCAAATACACCTCTACCCAGATCTGGTGTCACTAACTCACGAACTTCTACTGAATGCTAAATACAAAGTCTGAAGAAGAATACAGTACTGTCTGATCCGATACAAAGGAAATCAAACGAAAGACAGAGATAAGGGAGACTCCGTGCCATGCGGACGCCAGCAAGGCTACCTCGGGAATCTCCGGACTGAAGTAAGCTCCCAACGCTCCTACTGCTGTCCAAAAGCTCCTGCTCCGGTACTATGATCTGTGCAAAAAACACAGAAGTGTAGCATCAGCACAACCGACCCCATGTGCTGGTAAGTGCCTGGCCTAACCCCGGCGAGGTAGTGAC